GAAAAACAACCCTGACTTAGAGAAAGACTATATATTTAATAGTTTAGTCAAAAGAGACAAACAAGAAAGAATGCCAGGCTTCAAACTTAAGAAAGGTGACAAAGTAAAAATAGAAATACCTAAACGCGACCCATATGAAAATACTATTGACTATGACAACAATGGGAACTCGACAGGTACTCACATTCGTGTTCGTAAAAATAGAAGAAAGTATACAAGAGAATATTATGAAGTTTTAGGCAAACATGGCAAAATGTACAGACTGCAAGCAGAAGATAAAACTACTATTGTCAGACCTCGTTTCAAACTTGTCAAAGTTCAAGGTGGTATACTTTCAAAGACAGTTCCTAACAAATATAAGACAACTCCTGACGAATATGCTAAAGAAGTGGAACATGACGACTAAGCATTTCTATACCATGCGTAAACTGTCATGTAAGGTGGCATGTAGTCTTTACTTTGTCCCGTTGTTTGCGTATACCCTGAAACGCGATGTATATGGTTTCCTCCTCCCTCAGTGTTACTCCAGTAACAATCTATAGCAAACTTAACGTTGTTTTTAACATCATATCCTTTACCTTTTGTCATTGATGACCAATCCCAATATCTATGACTATGCCAACCTGCGTTAGTTGTACTTAAATCTATGTAGTGACTGTGCGCAGGTAAATTTGCACCTGAAATCGTTTTACTTCCACCTGTTTCCTTTGAAGAGTTTGCACAATACAAAAACCTGTCGACTATTTGAGTCCAAGTTCCGAGACCAAGTACTACTTCTGGTCTGGTAGAGTTCATTGACGTGTAAATAGAACCTATAGGATATAGTGTTTGAAGTATTTCTGTCTTTAACGTTTGAAGCTCTGTTTTGTCTGCTTTCTTCTCTAACATTGCTGGTAGTTCGTATGCTTCAAAGTTTCTGGTATGATCTTCGATATTCCTGCAACTCTTATCTAAAATGTTAAGAGTATCTTTTACGCTTGTACTTGGATTTTCTAATGGTGCACTTGAACCAAGGTCAAAGTTCAATATTATATCATCTGCTGTAAAAGTTGTAAAACTTGTATGTGTATGGTTCTTGTCAGCTTTAAGGTCTAAACATCCTGAAACCCATCCTGTATCAGCTTTCGTTTTTAAAATCTTCGATGTCCGTTCATGATACCATTCAACCCTTTCTATAATTTCATTGTCTTTTTCATCCACATATTCCTTATCTGCCTTCTTCACTAACGCACTAGCCATACAACCCCTATCTACCTTCTCCTCTAACTCACTGTTGACATATGTTTTGTCAGCTTTCTTTTCAAGGCTAACGTTTAAGTCTGTTATTTCAGATATAGAATGTGTATGTCCAACGTCACTTTTCCTGTTTAAGGTTTCTTGTAAGTTTGTAATATTTGCAATGGTATGTGTATGAGTCTTTTTAGAATATTCTTTGTCAGCTCTTGTCACTTCACTTGACATTTTATTGTCAACATATGTTTTGTCCGCTAGTTAGGATGAGTATGTTCTTTCGTTGCATATGTTGCATCTGCTCTGTCATGTTCTTCTTGAACTTTTCAATGACATACTCTTTGTCAGCTTTGTTGTCAATATCTGCTTTCAAAAGAAGTTCATCTATAGGTTTCTCGTTTAAAGTTCCTTTTGTTGGATTTATACAAACAGTATGGTTCTTATTGTCTTGAAATAGAAACTCGTCTGTCATTGGGTTTATCGTCAGTTTTAAGTTTCCTTCTTTCAATGACTCAGATATCTTAGAATAGTTTGAAAAGTTTGTTGTGTTCTTATTTAGAGCTTGCAAAATGAGTTGTCGGTTGTGTTGTATTTCTCTCATAGACGCTGTTTCTTTCGACATTTTTATTCTAGATAAAATATGCTTTCAATAGAAAAAGAAAATTCAAGAGTTGCTACAACTAAACCATTAGATGAACTTTTTACGAATGTCGGTCAAAAGTTTGAGACAGAGACCGTAAAGCATGAAGGCTATCGTTTTGACTACCGTTAAGATGGTTAAGAGACCCATCCGTCACAAAAGCTATTGGCTTTCGTAGAATGAAGTTCATTTCAGAAGCCATACATGGTTTCCCATTTACGGTCGGTTTTGAAGTTCGATACTATAACAAAGAAAAACGTACGTATGAGAAATTTGAACAGGGAAAACTTTTACAAGTGAATTTGCTTGTAAACTTAGAAACAACTCTTCAAGCTTTTCAAGAAAAATAAACGATATCTATCTCGAATATGCAAAACAGTTTAACATTGACGAAGGAGAGTACCATCTCGATATTGTTTATGACAGGAAAAATGCAACTGTTAAAATCAATAGAATAGAAGACCTTGGAGACAACGTTTATATTTCTACAAAATATAAACAACTTGGCATGGTATAGATTTTTGAGGATGTTAAATCAGCCTGCAGAATATCCAGTACACCCGAACTTTTATGAAGTCGAAAACCCTAATGGAACATATGAAAATGTTTTCGACTCAGATGCTATTATAGTTCATGCTTCATTTTCTGGTGCACAAAACTCTTTTTTTATGCTTGGCAAATGACTTTTACGAAAAACCTACAAAGCTATATGAACCACCGAGTGGAAGTATTTCAGACTTTCAAGTATGGTTTACTACAGATGGAAGAAAGAGAATAGTTCCATTATACCACGCGTTTTACTTAGAACTTAGTTTCATATACAACTACTATCGAACGGTAAAAATATAATTTTAATACGGTTGAGGTGTTGGATTTGGTTGCCAACTTGACTGTGGTGCAGGTTCAGGCTGTTGTATAACAGGAGCTTGTTCTTCTGGTTCAGGGTCTTTAGGTATAATACCAACGAACTGACCTACTCTTTTACCAATATTTTTGACTCCGTTCCAAATTCCTCTTCCTACGGTTTTTATTCCATTCCATATACCTCTTCCGACTCTTCTGAAGAAGTTTCCAATACTACTGAAGAAACCCATTTTACTATATGTAAAAATCTAATGTCCGCCTAGTCTCTTACGTTTCCTGTTGAGTTCCATAGCATTTTTTAACTGGAGCTCATACATTCTATTTCTCCTCTGGTAGAAAACATATTCTGGGTCAACTCCTGTGTTCGCGTCATCTGCATATAGTTGTTTATATCCCACTTCAGGGTTTGTATAAAACTCTTTCCATCTCATATTTGCATACCATGGTGGCAAACCTAACGCAGCGTCATTTGACATGGCAGTTTGCATTTGTACATCTGTTGGCACTTGACCATAGTTTGCCATTGCAGTTTGTATTCTAACTTCATTTGGAATATTCTCTGGGTTTGGTTGTCCAGGTTGCTGTGCATTCGCTAAGTTCTGTGCGTCCATTTAATATTAGATAAAAATATCTCTTACGAGTACATATGCTGAACATTTGCTGGTATTGGTTCATCTTCATATTCTCTATATCTTTCTGCCACGTCAAATAAGTAAATGACACAATGGAAAAAACCTAAAACAAGTAGTCCTATTTCAAACCACATTTACTTACAATAAAATTTCTTTGTTGTGACACTTTTTCCGGTTTATAGGACCTCTCTCATATTCTATCTTGTCATATCTAAACTCATAGTCATGTATGTCCTCTAACCATCTCATGACACTTTCCAAACCACTTTTATCGGATGTAAAGTAAAAGCATGGATGGTTATGTAAAACGTCTAAAGTTTCTAAAGAGTCTCTCAAAGTCCAGTCTACTTGGTATTGAAAATCGCATGTGTTATAGAACGGCGGGTCTACTATAAAGAAAACATTTTCCTTGTCTTTATATTTTTCATACAACTCTGTCCAACGACATCTCACAAACTCTATACCCTCAGTATATTTTTCTATGTCCTCTTTGAAAACCTTTGTATAGTTAAGATATAAAACGTTTGACATAAGTGTTTCAATGTCATGAACTCTTATAGAACCACTATATAAAAGTCTAGCAGATATACTATCCCAGTCAATATATTCTGCTTTTTTCAAAACCTCTCTGACAGTATTTTTCTTATCTAATGGTATACGTTCCATCTTACCTATAGGTATCTTTTCTTTCAACTCACTCAATATTTTGTTTGTGTCTGGTATATGTTTGAGACGGTTCATATAGTTGTCGAAGTCATTGCATATAATCTTTGAGTCAGGAAATACAGTATGGCACAAATGAGATATATAGAAACTTCCACCGAACAAATCTACAAATGTTAGACCATTCGGTAGTTTCTTAAGTTCTCTCAATAGAATATCTTTACATCTACTCTTATTTCCAAAGAAGGGTAACGGTGGTTTTGTAAAATTCATTTTATATACAATAAAAATGTTTTTACCCTGAAAAGTGACAGAAAAGTGACAAAACATGAAAACTACTCGGTTAAGGTCTTGTCGGTTTTGTAAAATAACCGTCCTATCTCATTCTATAAGGAAGAAAAGGCTTCTCAAAGTATACTTCCTTGAACGCCCGTAACTTTTCTGTAGCGACGATAGACCCTTACTTGTCCGGACAAAGTTCTACTATTTTGAGTCCTCTACAAAAAAGTCAACAGCAACGACTTTCAAAAATTTTACGGGCTAGAAGGGGCGCAGCCCCTGGGAAGCCCCCTATACCCAAAAAAAACCTCATTTTATACTTCACTTATACTAAACATCTTCGGGGCTAGAGGGCACGAAGTGCCTGGAGGCCCCACTACCTTTTTTTTTTTTTTTTTTGCATTCACACAACACTAAAGAATAACAACTAAATACATTATCCTTTTTTATTTTTATTGCGATTTTTGATAGCGTTAAATACCAAATCTTCTAAGAACATCCTAAAATCAATCACCCTTTGAGTGGCTTTCATAATATATCTAGATGATAAACCAGAAATTGAACCCGCATATGGGTCCCATTAGGATAAATTGTAAACTATTCAAAAATAGTTTACAAAATTAATTTAGGTAATAATAAAATTTTTAATTGAGATAAATTAAAAAATCTTAGGAGAATGTTATGGATTTTCTTCATTGAACCATTCGATAAATGAGCATCTTTGCGAGCCATTTGTGTTCGAGAGTCTTGTACCATAAAGGTGGCATCTCAGCAGTTGAGCATCCCTTCAATGCATTGATATCTGTTGATGGAACAGAGTATGCGACTTCATCATTGATCATGATCCAATATGCACTTTTTTGCAAAAAGACCACGTAATGAAAATTGCAATAGGCAACAATTGCAATCAATTGATATCTTTGCCTTTCGACTGTTGGGAGTGTCAACTTTTTCGGGAAGTCAAAGATGACTTGATGAATCGAATCATTCTGCCACTCTCTCTCTGAATGTCGAAAGTCAAGAATTGTGGCCATGATGTGTTCCTTGTAGTTGACAAATGATATTGAATGGCATGATCGAGATCTGGTTCTCCAATTCTGGTGTGAATCGAGTAGCAATTTGTTTGTTCGTTGGCACTATCACGGTAAGTGATTCGGAAGAGTTGACCGATTCCTGGTATTTGCTCTGCGAGATCTGTGATCAATCTTGTCATCGTGTCATCACAATCTTGTGCCTCATATGTTGAGTTACCAAGTAATGTGGCAAGTTCATGGGGAACGAAGACTAATCCTTTGGACTTCAATGAATTCAAATTTGTAAAGATACTTGACATCTCTGTTACGATGGGAGAGGACTGATTGGCAACCTTCAAAACTTTCTGTTCTCACTTCGGATATGTAGAACAGAACCTGTAAACATACGTTCAAATGACACGTATTTCCCATATTATGAAGACCAACAATACCACCTTTAATTGGGTAAAGGTAGTTCGCCTCTTGTGATGACTGTATGATATCGACAGCTTGATGAGCGACAGCAATGATGTTCCGCTTTGATGGTTTCATGGAGGGTGCAACAACAGCAGCGACGGTATCGCTTGAAGGAAGAACCTTTGTTGGTGTAAAATCTTCGAAAAGGAGTAACTCTTCATTATCATTCAGGGGTGATCCATCAATGTTATAATTTGTCAAACCGACTAAACCTGATATGATCAGAGGAAGTGATGTGCGCTCACCTCGAAAACCATTTTTCATGCAGGACCAGCATGACTTGAAACGTGCAAAGAAACGCTCGACAATCTGCCTGTCTTGGGCAATGGCGTTGTTGCGTTCAACGTCTGCTTCTTCGTGGCTTCTCTTCATCACCACGGCAGTAAGGTGATATTTCTGGATTCCAATATAGCCCCGGTCGGCAAGTACAGGATATTGGTAATCATCAAATCCTCGCTTTACTGTCAAAAATCCGAGACTTTTGACAATCGAAAATCTTCTTGTCATGGACTGCAGCCATAAACTCAACGTTTTGATGTATGGCTTTTCCATCTGGTGACACGAGGACTTGGAGCTTAATACCGTTGCAGTGGTTTTTTTCATCCCAACTATAAAGCCTCTCTTCTTTACCGAAGGAATGTTGAAAGGAATTGTAGTGCTGTCTACAGCTGCAACAGCATCAGGGAAGTTTGTAAATTTGTTCTTCATTGAAGTTAACGTGGACAGTGATTGGGAAGAAAATAGCTCGCAAAGATTTGAAATGCAACATTGGTAGTTCTTGTAACTAATTTGGAATAGCATGACTGGGAAATATGTAGCAACGGACATAATGCTGAATAGGGCAAGTATGTGCAGTAATATGTGAGCGTGAGGAAGAGAGACTCGATTGTTGAAAATTTGACCTTTCTTCCTCTTCTGGCCCTTCCACAGTTGGATTCAATAATGTCAGCGAGGTATTCCAACTGTTCATATGTGAAGTTGCACAATGATCGGAGCTGGAGCTTTGGATGCATCCTGATGAATATTGAAATCGAGAACCTGGGCATTGGATTGGTCAATGTCATCTCTTTTGCCTCTTCTTCATTTAATGGCTCTTCATCTGTGTCGGAATTCTCAGGTGTAACAGTAACAACAATGTTCGCCCTTCTGGATTCTTTTATCTTGGTGATGATATCTTCATCGCATGGTTCATCCATGTTGATAAATGAAGTGATTAAAAGATATAAAAATCTTATCAAATTTGAAATAGAGTTCAAAATTAATAAATAATGAAACCCAATCAATTTAATCATATCTAGATATCCTAATATATATCATTTTAAACTTGAAATTAAGAAACTGTGAAGAATTAAAAAATGTTTAAAATCTTTCATACAATTTAATCATATCTATATATTCTAGTATATATCATTTTAAACTCGAAATTAAGAAACTGTGAAGAATTAAAAAAAACGTTTAAAATCTTTTAATAGAAATAGTTGAGAAAGGGACAAACTATCCAGTGTCACTTTTCAAAGGAATAAAAAAAAATAATAAAGATGAAATAATAATATGAAATCTTATATAAATATAATTTTATCTAAATAGATAAATGAATTAAGCAGTTTACAGTTATATATATTTAATGAGAGACAATATCTAGTTCTATGGTAGAAATGACTCTTAGACTCAAATAAGTAACACAGATAGAAAGTACTCAGTATAACAATTATATATGTACACTCAAAGTTAGTCGCTGCTAAAATCTTAACCTTGCATTTCGGGAAAATCTGACAATGGCTCTTAGACTCAAATAAGTAACACAGATAGAAAGTACTCAGTATAACAATTATATATGTACACTCAAAGTTAGTCGCTGCTAAAATCTTAACCTTGCATTTCGGGAAAATCTGACAATGGCTCTTAGACTCAAATAAGTAACACAGATAGAAAGTACTCAGTATAACAATTATATATGTACACTCAAAGTTAGTCGCTGCTAAAATCTTAACCTTGCATTTCGGGAAAATCTGACAAATGGCTCTTAGACTTGTTTTGATAATTAATTCTTCAATTATATTATAATTTATAACAAATTTCCTCAAACTATCTGTATGTCATTCAATTCCCGGCCACTACATTCAATGATGGACCATTTCCTTCAAATTTTGAAATACCTTATTCAATTTGTTGTATGGAGCCCGTGATATTCAACACTATGGAGCTCCTCCAGTTTGGTATCCAAGAAGAGATAAAAGCTAGCATGGGCTACTCTCAAAAATGCAGGAAAGAATACTCCACGATCGAATACAAATGTAAGTATCCACAATGTCAAGCTAAATTCAAAGTCCGGATAATAGATCAAGATAAATATGAACTACTAATCCACTCTGACTCTCATGATCATTCTGCACCTCCGAAATCAACAAAAACAATATCCTCATTATTTGTCAGAAATTATCTTAAACATTACTTTGAAAACAATATGAATCATGCTACAGCTCAACTTAAGTGTTTCCAAGACTTAAATATTTCATATACAGACGAAGAGTTACTTTCAATATTTGCACAAGGTCCAGATGCATTACGTAAATTTGCTCAAAGAGCTGAAATTGTTTCCAAACGCTTTAGTTCGGATGAAAAAGTTTCTTTAGCTATCTTTGTCGAATCTGTTCAAGAAAGTTGTCCAGAAGATTTAATTGAATTTATCTCTGAGCCGGGAAAACTAGTTTTTTTATATGCACCTTTCGAAGCGAAGGCCCTTGGTCACCAAATTTCTACGTTTCACATCGATTCAACGTATAAACTTCTAAGGGCTACATTCCATTATATCACTCACAGGAAAAACAGAACATACTATTGTTTTTCCTTTTTTGTATTTCTTTATTTCTCCTGACACAAGCGAAAATATTCAATATTGTGTTTGTCGTTATTTTCAATATATTAATAGAGAACCGAGATGATAAGTTGGACTGCGCCCCACAAATAGCCGAGGCAATTGAGCGAGGTATTCCAAACTGTCATATTGTTTGGTGTGGCGTGCATGTCCTTCGCGCCATATTAAGGAAAGCGGATAAGTTTAAATCACGAGACAATTTTGAAGAATTTTATAATCTAATGAAATTATTAGTATTCGATACTAAAGAAGAATCTCCCGAGGAAGAACAGAACCAAGAAGAAGAAAATCCTAGAGAGGAACCAGCTCAATCTCACTTACTTCAAGCAGAAGAAATTGAAGAAGAGGAACAATATGAAGAAGAATTCATCGAAAATGAATTTCAACCTTCTCAAATCTTTTTACCACGAGAATCTTCTGATGATCCAAACGATTCTGAATTTATTCCAGAAGAAGAAACGTTTGAAACAAGTGAAGAAGTTCCAGAGCACCTCACTCAAGAAGAAGCTGCAGACCTAGATGCAGTTTATGATCGAATTCTTGAAATTCTTTCCACTGAACCGAAAGCCCAAAAGTACTTCGATAGGCAATGGAGGCATCATTTAGATAGTTGGAATAAGCGCTATCGCAACGGAGGTGACGCGACTAATAACGTCAGTGAGTCACATTTCAAAGTTCTCAAGCATTCTTATTTCCCAGAGAGAAGGAATATTCGATTAGACGATTTTGTTGTTGAATTATACACAACGGTTGTTCCAGCATTATTGATTAAATTTAAAGTTCAATTAATCAATAGTGATAAAGTTGTTCGTATATTACGAAAAGCTAATGACCATGAACAAATATTGGAAAACAAAAAAGTCGAATGTTTGAAAATGCTTGAAGCAATATATTCAAGTTTGCAACAAGGATCAATAGATTCAAATCTTGTTTATTGTACTTTAAAGGTACTTTTAAAAAAGAAACAATTAATGTAAAAGATTCAAATAATTTTTTATTATTTTATTAATTTTTTAAAATAAGGTTAATAAAAAAGTGACACTGGATAGTTTGTCCCACACTCGAAATAGTTTATTTAAAAAATAAAAGTTTAACTGGTGCATAAGTAAAAATTAGATTCTCGAACTTATTATTATTTTTGATTGAAATATTAAAATAGTATTCCAATCAAAAATAATAATAAGTTCGAGAATCGTAATTTTAGAACTTTTTTACATTCTTCACGCCTGTAAAAATATTCCATAATTCCAGATTTTATTAATTACTACTTTTTTAGATACATTCTAAAGCTGGCGAAGCAACGCTAAAGTGATGATTAACAGTGAATCACAGCGACGACCCAACATAATATATTGAGATTAATTTTCTAGGTACGGTTGAAATAAAAAAAAAAAAAAAGTATTGGGGCTTCCAGGCACTTCGTGCCCTCTAGCCCCGAAGATGTTTAGTATAAAACCGCTTTTTAACTTCACTTAAAATGCCACGTAAGCTACGTAAGAATATACGTAAGAGGAAGAGAGCATTGAAACATCCAATAGTAAGACTAACACCACAACAACAGTTGCAACAACAAATGCTGAATGACCCCACTATGTTGCAACAAATGTCAAGCAATCCTATGCTTTTAAACCGAGTTGTTGGTGCACAGAGTGGAGGTTTAAGAGCGGCA